TTTTTTTTTGTGAGGAAGATCAGCCCTGAGCTAACATCCATGCTAATCCTCCTCTTTTTGCTGAGGAAGACCGGCTCTGAGCTAACATCTACTGCCAATCCTCCTCCTTTTTTTCCCCCCAAAGCCCCAGTAGGTAATTGTATGTCATAGTTGCACATCCTTCTAGTTGCTGTATGTGGGACGTGGCCTCAGCATGGCTGGAGAAGCGGTGCGTCAGTGTGAGCCCGGGATCCGGGCCCGGGCCGCCAGCAGCGGAGCGCGTGCACTTAACCGCTAAGCCACGGGGCCGGCCCTACTCATCTCTATTTCAACAGTTCTAAAGGTGTTCTTAATCTTGAAGCAACTAGAGTTGGTTGCTTTACAACTGTTTTAGGCAGTTATGATTTGGATATCAGGAGGGAGTGCCTGCAGCGCATGCCTTAAGAACTTGCTGTGGCTGGCTATGTTGGAAAGGAAACTGGAGGAAAATGGGGGAGCAGGCTATCTCCAGATGTCCAGGAGGAACATGACAGGCCCTTCTCTCAAGTGGTAATGGTCTTTGTGTTGTGGCTTAGTGACAGCAGCTTAAAGATGCCAGAGACAACTCTGGCTTGAAGCAGTGCTTCTCAAGGTATGGTATCTGGTGCATGGGGTGATTCTGGTGTGTGAAGAATCTCTGGAAATTTCATTCACCTCATAATTATGAGGCCTTGTTATGACTCTACCTAGTCTTAAGCCTGATTCAAAATGATGGTGTTGATACTAACAACGTTGATAATGACTTTTACTGAGGATTTACTCTGTGCCAGGCTTGGTGCTGAACACTTCATATGCAATATCTGACCCAGTCCTTACAATAGCCCTCTGAAGTACATACCATTATTTTCTCCATTTTACAGATGAGAAAACTGACAGACAGAAATAAGGAACATGTCCAAGGTCATAAAGTTAATTACTCGCAGAGCCAGGATTCAAATCATGGTCTAATTCCAAAATATATGCTTTTTAAAAAAATTATGGTAAAATACACATTTACTATTTTAACCATTTTAAAGTGTACAATTCAGTGGTATTTAGTATATTCACATTTTGTGCAACCATCACCACTATCTAGTTCCAGAAAATATTCATCACCCCAAAAGGCAACTTTATGCCCATTAAGCGGTCACTCATCATTCCCTTCACCCAGAACCCTTGGCAACCACTATTCTGCTTTCTGTCTCTATGGATTTGCCTATTCTGGATATTTCAAATGAATGGAATCATAAGAATGGCTTCTTTCTCTTAGCATAATGTTTTTAAGGTTGCAGCATGTATCATTTCATTCCTTTTTGTAGCCAAATATTAATCCATTGTACCAATTTGCTATCCATTCATCAGTTGATGTACATTTGGGTTGTTTCCACCTTTTGGTTATAGTGAGTAGTGCTGCTATGAACATTCAAGTACAAGTTTTTGTTTGAACACCTGCTCTCAATTCTTTTGGGTATAAAATATAGGCTTTTTATCATAAACCTCTGCTGACTCCAAGAAGGAGATGACCAAATATCTTAAAGTGTTCAGTAATTCAACAAATACTTAGTGAGAACTTACTGTACAGCTACCTAGAACGCTAAGCACTGGTAACATAAATTGCAATGAATAAGACAGGCCTCCTCCCTGTCCTCCTTGGGAATGACAGAAAATTGAATAAGTGAGTAAAACACAGACCTGGCAGCAGTTAGGATTAAGGGTTCCTTTTCCATTTGCTATTAAAAGAAAGTAAAAGCTGGTAATGACAGACCTGAGCAAGACGCTGTAACAGGATGCTTTTAGAAGCAAGAAGCAAGCACAACTAAGAGTAGCTTAGACAATGGTGGCATCTATCGTCTTACGTAACAATAAGTCTGAGGTAGGGAAGTTCCTGAGTGGGATGTCAGCAGCTCAGCAACATCGAGGAACGAGGAACGAGGCTTCTCCATCCTTCTGCTCCGCCATCCTCATAGTCACAATCAGGGACAGCAGCTCTAGGCGTCATGGCCTCCATACATAACAAAGACCAAAGAACAGAAGTGGGAAGATGGCAGATCCCTTCCCAATCCCTTTTTAGGTATAAGAAAAATGTTCCTAGAAATCCCCCAGAATACTTCCCATGAGGTCTGTTCTGCCAGATTTGCACCACAAGCCTATTCCTACACTGATCATTGGCAACGGAATGGAATTACAATGCATGATTTAAGATTAATCAAGTTTGAGGCTGGAAGTGGGCCCAGGTTCCCTTGGGGCATACAGCCACCTGATGCCCTAACAAAATACAGGTTCCGGGAAAATGTAAGAGGGAAAGAAAGGGCTGCAGGATAGGCAGCCAAGGTCTAGGCAAGATATCCCGGAGGAAGTCCAGTTCAGTGTTCTCTGAGCTCCAGGTGTCAACTGAATATCTCAAAAGAAAACAAAACTTTTAAAACAAAACAAAACCCAAACCTCAACATGTCCAAGACTGAACTCATGATTCTCATCAAAATGGTCTCTTTTAGTGCTGTTTCTTTGTGAATAGCACCACCATCCCAGCTGCACGAGCCAGAAAAACAGGAGTCATCACACCTTTCTTCTTCCTCATCACCCGTATCTAGTGCATCACCAAGTCCTGTTGATATAACCTCTAAAATAGCTCTTGAAGCTACCACTCTCTTCACCTTCACTGCACCAGCCTAGTCCAAGGCACCATCATCAGCTCTTCCCTGGAGCTCTGCAAGTCTTCGGTCCGGTCTCGCTGCGCTCCCTTTGACCTCCCTCCAACCTAGTCCTTCACATAGCAGCTATGTGGCCTTTTCAAACACATGCTCATGCCTAAAAGTTGTTTCCCACTGCTCCTAGAACAATGACCAATCAAGGCCCTCTCCCAACTCTTTGCAATCCAGTTCACTGGTTTTCTTTGAGCTTGAATGGGTTGCGCTCCATCCCACCTGAAACTTCTGCACTTGCCCTTGCTCCTGCGCTCGCCTTCCTTCAGATCTCAGCCTAATCGTCACTTCCTAGGGAAAACCTTTCCAAGCTTCCTAATTAGGTCGGGTCCCTTTGCTACAGGCTGGAAGAGAGGTCTATGCCTTTCCTTCAGGGCACTTTTCTGTCTATAGACTTAAGATCCATAAAAACACGGAGCTATTATCTTCTACAACGTAACGCCTGGCACATAGTAAATGTTCAATACACAGTTGTTGAATAGCTACGAATATATATACTTAAAAGCAGAGTGGCCGATAACGAATGCGCAGCCAGTCCTAAAGAGAACACAAATAATGGCCGTGACCCACGCACCTCGGAGCTGCCTGGACCACAAGACTCGTTGCTCCTCCCAGTAGCTCCGCCCCGTGGGCCCCGCCCCTCCCTGCTGAGACGGGGGAGGGGCATAGAGGTCGCGCGACGTGACAGCAGCCGGCCGCTGATTGGGCTTCCAGTTGTGCCGGCTACGAAAGGGGGCGTGTCCGCGCGCGCTGATTGGCTATCTGGCGGCGGCTGGGCGGGCGGGGGCGGCGGCGCGGGGGCGGGCTCTGGGAGGGACCTGACCAGGCAGGGCAGGGAGGGCGGCCGCAGCGGGCGGGATGGGTCGTCGCCGCCGGCTTCGCTGAGACTCGCTCGCGTGGGCTGCTCTGGCGGGCCCGCAGTGGTCGCGGCGGCATGAAAGGCGCTCTAGGGAGCCCCGTGGCTGCGGCCGCCGCAGGCGCTGCGATGCAGGAGAGTTTCGGCTGCGTCGTGGCCAACCGCTTCCACCAGCTGCTAGACGACGAGTCGGACCCGTTCGACATCCTACGCGAGGCCGAGCGCCGGCGCCAGCAGCAGCTGCAGCGCAAGAGGCGCGAC